TTGTCCACCATATTTTCGGACACTTGCAGTGTTAGACAGTCTGACTCCCCCCTCCTCTAGAGTCTGGCAAATTCTGGGGGTAGCTCAATGATAACGCTCTTCATCGGGGAAAGTTGACGTTTACAATACAACTGACGTTAGCAAAATAGGAACCTCAAGTACGACTTTAAGTATTCGTCAAAAAACTTGGCATTGCAAATGTACGCATGGAAATATTCAGCCGACGATTCCAACGAGATCAAGGACACATTTGAGGCTCGAGTCGTCCGGCGCTCCGATGACGTACGCTGAGTTCGTAGACCGTCGTGCTGTATCGCATAGTGACCGCGGCCATGCACGAATCCACCGGAGCTCTCTCTTTTGGCCATGGTCACCTAGAAAATAGCTGTGTCCTACATGTTTGAACAGTGCATGCCAAACCACCTGGCGCGCAGTGGATTGATGGAATGGCAGCATGATGGGAAGGGCTCGCATACATTGGCACCGCACTACGGTATCCACTCAGAAAAGTGAACCTACATTTTTTTTTTCAGAAATGATCTTGAAAATCCATTTTGCTCTGATGTGTTAAAACCGCAGTGTCCAACAGTAAAAATTACCCATCGTCTCAGCTACTGAAACGAGCCAAACGTACCGCCACCTTCGACTCTTATCATTTTTCAATTCACCCTCACGTGAATAAGCCTCTTCCCACACGTTACACAAATACTCAGAACCATGTCGACTGCCATGTCGACGTTCTTCCTGCTCATGGTGAGCCAATTGTCCATGCTGGCTAACGCTACAGACTCGGCCAGCGACACGGTCGAGTCTCTCTTCGACTCCACGGACGGCATCAAGGTCGGTGGGAGTGTTCTGGCCATCGCTGCGATTGCAGTCGGCGCCGTAATGGTGGCCATGGGCTATCGTCTCTTCCGAGCGACGCTCTTCGCTGTCGGCTTCGTGGCCGGCGGCGTAGCAGTCGCAATGGTCGTTGAGCACGTCTTCGACGACAAGTCGTGGGTTATCACGGCGTCCTGGATCGCCTTCGTAGTGGGCGGTTTGATTTGTGGCAGTATCGTCATGTCACTCTACTCGCTCGGTATCTTCATTGCTGGCGCGGCGGCGGGTGTTGCGCTCGCCATGATGATCCACAACTCGGTGGGCTACAAGATCTACCCGGACCACCCTCAGGTGGTGCTTATCGTGCTGTGTATTGTGCTGGGTATTATCGCCGGCGTGTTGGCGCTACGACTCGAGAAGCCCGTGCTGATCACGGCTACAAGCCTCTTCGGTGCGGCTATCCTGGTCTGGGGCGTGGGCTACTTCGCTGGTGACTTCCCATCCACCAGCGACCTCAAGGACTACGCGTCGAGGGACATCAACGGCGACTGGGTCTACTCGATCCCGGACGCGTGGTGGGGTTACCTTGCCGGTATCCTAGTGCTGTTCGTGCTGGGTTTACTCATTCAGTTCCGCAAGACTGGCCGCGGCGGCGTGTACCACAAGTCACACGCCATGGGACGCACGGAAAACGTGCAGTACGTCGAGGCCGGCACCCCGCAGGAGCAAAACGTGCGCTACGGCAACCCGGTGAGCCACGTTTAAAGACAGCAACTACTTCAGTAGGATGTACACTAGGCGAGCGCCTTGACACGGTGTCAACGACATCGGCAACTTTCAGACAGACAACACAGACGTAACATTTTATCAGAAAACCACAGTTTTTCAATTCGTTTCCACATCCTAACATTGGCTTCAGGTTGCGAATTCTCAAATGTCCTCGATTCGTACAGTGAGAAATGAAACTTTTTTTTTTTATCTCGGTGACATTCGATGGTCTCCGTAATTCTCTCGGTGAAGGGTTAAATGCCGCATTTGCAACCACGAGCAAGACGCACAGATGGCTCTGCAGCGCCATTATCGCGGCATCGCATGGAGAGAGCTGGCCCTCTTTCCATCGGGGTAATGCCAGCTGCATTATCATTTAGCATTGCAGTGTCAATTTTCCACTGTGCAATGTGAATTTCACACTGGCAATCGCTTTGGCAGTCATTGAACTCTCCCAGCTGTTTGTACGGGCTATCAGCAGTGTGTTGTCGTCGCGTCCAGGAGCCACAACTTGATGAACTTGCCGTACAAGTGGCCCACAAGGCCGTCCAAGTCTAGTGTCATGTGGAAAAATGGTAGCTGAATTCTATCCGCATGTTGCCTAAAACCAGTGCACGCGCTGCATGTACAGCAGAAAATGCCGTGGCATTCCACAATTGTCACCGTTGCGCGAAAATGGCGCGTTCGTCGATTCTCTTTGTGCTGTTGCTCGGCCAAGTGGCTCTTATTGCGTCCTGTGTACAGGGTGCAACGAACAGCACGGTATCAACTTTGGAGGACTCGATCTTCGATTCGACAAAAGAAACAAATTTGGGCGGATCAATTCTTGCAGTGGTCGCTGTTCTCATCGGCGGCGGGGTGACAGTGTACGGCTACCGGTACATGTATGAGACCGTCTTCGCTATCGGCTTTGCTCTTGGATCCGTGGGAATCGCTGTGACTGCAGAGCGCATGCTCGTCGATAAGTCGTACTGGTCCCTCGGTTCGTGGCTTGCATTCATCTTTGGCGGCCTCTTATGCGGTGGCTTGGCCATGTGGGTCCACCCGAAGAGCAACTTCATCGCAGGTGTGGCAGGAGGCATCACACTCGCGGTTATCCTGACCAATTCTGCAGCATACTACATTTTCCCCAACCAGACCCAGGAATTATTCACAATTATGTGCGTAATCTTCGCGGTTATATTCGCTGCAGTGGACCTGAAGTATGGTAAGCCGGTGGAAATCGTGGGAATCAGCATCTTCGGCGCCGCCAGTTTTGCATGGGGTATCGGTTTTTTCGTTGGCGACTTCCCGTACCCGAACAACCTCAAGAAATACGCAACACAGAATGTGAATGGTGACCTGGAATACTCTATCCCGACTGTGTGGTGGGGCTACCTGGGTGGGATCGTGGTGATCTCAGTGTTTGGCATGTTTATACAGTTCCGGAAGACCAGCCGCACCATGGTTGACGACGAGTTCGCTGGCTTTGAACCCAATGGTTTCGGATACCCTATTGACGCGGTGCCGTATATGGAGAGCGAGAAGCAGCGGCCAACGATCCCTGTGTTGGATCCACCCGCAAGCACGGCACGAGAATCCGACTACTTGCCAACATCGTACCCAGCACACGAGTCCTTTTGCAGACTGTACTCACGCAACACAGAGGCTCAATCGATTAGCAAGATGAGGTCAAAATTCTTGGAGGCACGAGCGCAATCTATGGAGACGAAAACTCCGATGGACACTAGAAGTAGCATGCAGCCGACAACGACGAACTCTTCCAGAGGAATGATGCCAGAGGTGCAAGAGGAGGAGCTATAAAGAAAATAATAGGCCAAACACTATTGCAAAGCGCTAAACATTAATAAAGTAGCTTTTCGACATCACGTAGCTGTCAAAATGGATTTAGTGCCAGAAATAAAGGTTAAACCTTTCTTCTTTACAGTTTTGCAAACATTTTTTGCGTAAAAAATCGAAACCTGAATTTTGTCACTAAACCACTTGCGTTGTCAAAAACCAATGACATACTCTTCAGTACACACAACGCGGAAGAAGCACCGAAGTCTCTTTTGGTAGCCGCAACTCACGATCAATTGGAGTAGCTGCAGCTGAAATTGGTCATCTTGGCGTTATTCAGTTCCATGAAAGAGAGATGAGCAGCCCGCTGTGGCACGGGCGACTCCTGGTGACCACACAGCCGTGATGGAATATCTATTAAGTTTTGGTGGCTCGCTTTGGAATATGGTTGAAGCACACGTCGCGACAGTCGATAAGAAGAATTTCACCTTGGCGGATCGGATTTGTAACTTTAACCTCGATACTTAGTACTACTGCAGAAAAAGAACTGCTGATTCAGCTGGCATATCGAGAAGGAACCCCAAACACTATCAATATTTATACGAGAACGGACAGAATGACGCAAAACTAATCGGCGAGGCTTTTGTTAGCCCATCTAAAGAGGGTCATACTGAATCGATGGCATTTCTTCTGAATACCAAACGTGTTTCACTCAGCACATTTAAAGTAGCTTTTGAGGTTGCAATGAAATCACAAAACACGAAAAACATTGATGCAGTGAGACTCCTGTTTAGTATGGGTCGACCGTCTCACAATGCTGTTCGCGTTGTGTTTGAAACCACGTATACAAACTTGCGAATGTATCGAAACGGTCGATCATTGCTGTTTTGACGAAGCGTCCGGCGTGGCTCTTAGGAAGGGAACCTATTTTCGGTACAACGTTGAAAAGCTTGACATCGTGAAAATGCTGCACAATGGTTCCGTATCCCAGCTAAGGTGATAAGCCAAGCCTTTGTCTTCGCAGTCCAGTGATCCGGAAAACATAATAAGGCGAAAATATATATTGCATAAAAAATATTCGATTATTTTGTTTTTGTCAACAATTTTCTTCAGGTTTTTTTTTTTTACCATGTTTTCCTGTGGTACACAAAATGAAAATCTTTGGTCAGAGGCCACACTAGAAGAAAGACCGGGCTTCTGACCAAATCTGCTCAAACCCATACTTTCTGGTCGTACGAATGAAGCTCTCCTGCACGAATTCAGTCCGGAAACAGTTATTGTGCTTTGCATCCAGTGTGCTAAATTTTGAACGCCCACATAAAGTTTAGTCGTTTGAAAACCCATACTAAAATTTAGTCCAGACTAATTAGCTTGTCATTTCTTTATTTGCTGCATCGAAACATCGCAAAACACACATAATTAATTTAATACCGTTGGCTATGTCACGTCGACTTCACGTTTTCCTCTACCACGTAATAGTCCTTGATTATAGTATATTCAGTTGAATGCAAAATGTCTTCAAAATTTCGTAAATGGTTTGGCATTTGGGTTACACTAGTACTACATAGTATCAAGTTTACGTAGTACGAATCTCTGGAGCTACCGTAAAGTCCGGATTGAGCGAGACAAACGGATTGAGTGCAACGCGCGTAAAAACTAGAAAGGAACAGTTTACAAAACCCAGTACAATGGTACTTTTTACCACCAAAATGTGCCGGGTTTATTTTTTTAAATTGTTAGGCAAATATCTATTTACGACTGTCTCATTCAATCCGGACTTTACGGTAACTGAACTAAATGATATCATGAAAGTCAGGAAATCATGTTTCTCAAGGAATGTTTTACTGCACTAAGCTTCCGATCTAAGCCAAAACCAAATTTCCTACATGGCTACAGACACTAGTGCACTTCACGACTACGCCACCGGCTGAATACTTGTCCAAATGGCACTGATCAGATCAACCTCGTCACCTTCTCTGCCATCGAAACCACCCAACTGGTAGCCTTCCTTCGCAGTGTCCGTTCCAATCTTGTCCGTCCGTGTTCCGCCTTCAATAAAGTTCCCCTTATTGGTGGTGAACTTGATGTACTTGACGCGCGTGTGTCCTTTTTGTTTACCCGCGTGTGCCTCCATGACAGTGATATATTCACCTTCAGCTAACGCTAGGGGCTTTTTCAGCTCACCGCCATCACCGCCGTGGTATAAGGTACTCTCTTCCCCCGACGGACTCACGATGGTGAGGATGACAGCATCGACGCGCTCGGAAGCGCGGAGGTTGATTGACAGCACTTTTTGTCCAGATTTGACGAGGGCCGCGTCTGTGAAATCTTCACCATGGGGACCACCGAATTCTGGACCCACGTAAGTACCGGGTGGCAAAGTGATAACTTCATCCCCTTCATCTTCTTTTCGTCTTCCGTATCCTCGATACACTCTTCCTCTTGTGACCCAACCTCCTCCGCGCCCGCCTCCCCCGCGCCCACCTCCTCCGCGTCCACCACCACCACCTCCTCCCCCTCCTCCGCGTCCACCACCACCACCACCACCTCCTCCTCTCCCTCCTCTCCTTTCTTCCAATTCCGCCTCATCACTTGCAATGTCGACTCTGAGAGTCGTATAGTCGTTTGAATCGGACCTCAACGCGGTCTTGGCCGCGATTGTGACTCCATGGTTGAAAGAAAGCAAGGCGACCACAATGGCCAAAACGAGGTGCAACACGTGCATATCGTCGGTGGAACGAACGCAAAATCTCGAATGAGGAAGTAAGCTTACAATAATAAAGTGACGACCTATAATACCACATGTGGATTACCCTGCGCCACCCTCTAACGGTGGAGTGAGTGATGCAGATAACCGGTAGCATATCTGGATAGGGTATCTGCGAAAAAAGAATCATGAAACAGGTCGTGATACACAGAGCCATATGAACCCATCACTTTATTTACTTTTTGTAATGAGGTGTCTACAAATCTCCATATGAACCAAGACGAACTTGTTTTTGTAAGAGGAGGGTATCTACAAATCCCCGATTCATATTTATTTACTTGTACTTAAGTACTGTAGGTATATGCACGGAGATTCGGGGATTTTACTGCTCCCGCATGTTTACGTGGATTTTACTGTTCCCGTATGTATTTTTTTAATTTAAGATTACTCGACGCTTAATTAAAAAATAAACTGAGATTAAGCGTCGTGTAATCCTGGCCATGACGCAAGGTTGGTTTTTTTTTGCCGCAGCCTTTTTTTTCCGTCCGGATGGAGCCGTCAGTAGCATCCATTATCCGGACAATATCCGAATAACAGGCGCAATGACCGCTTGCTGGTGTGCCAATAAGTTACATGTATTATCGTCACGGAATTTTAACTCTAACTGTTGTCGCTACTTTCGTGATAGAGTGAGAAGGGCTGGGAAATGCGTGCCCAGCTATACATGGAGGCCTGCGAAGGTGGCAATAAATGAAGCAACATCACAACTTTGGCAAGAAGGGCTTCCATGTCAACCTGAAGCCAATATCCCGTGGCCTGCTGCATTCATTTATAGTCAGATCTGATTCGCATCACACTGTTGCGGCTTGCAGCACACGTAAAGATACATACATGTATAGCATTGCGGTGATTTACAAATTAAGTGCATAGCCCAAAATTCTGCTCTGTCTACGGGTAGTTAAATACATTCGACGTCATGGGCTGACTACTTTCAATGCGGCCATTACTATCAGGCATAACAGTGTGGTGAAGACAGTTTCTAGACGGTGTGTCTCCTTTCATCCCACGTGCTCGTACTGCAGTTGAATATATGTACCTCGAAGCACCATCGATGTCGAATCCAGGAACCGTATACCAGTATCCGATTTTGTGTGTCAACATAATTGTAAACATTTTATTGCCAGGCATTTTTTTTTGCCGATGGCGTTTGCAAATCAGCCAGGAAAAGAACGCCGATGCCCTCGGGCCCAGGTCTGAAAAATATATTCTCTGATTTGCAATACTTTTCTGAACTCTTTAATACGGTTTTGCCGAGGTAGAGAAAACTGCAGTCCATACTGTGGCCGCAGGCGATATTGCAATACTGTATTTTACAACGAATCGCAATACATATTGTGCCCCATTGCTAAATAAGAATATCAGTACACTGTCAACGGTAATTAGTCTTTCCGAGACTATTTTGTGCTTATGGTTTTCAAGTCTGATAACTGTATATAGTCTGACTCAGACTATTTATTGACTAAGACTATTTTTGAATTCATAAATAGTCTGACACACAAAAGTGAAAATGCTTTTGGGGGTACTCAAACCGTCGATATTCGCGTTGGAGATACAAGACACAAACGACTGGGCCAAATTCACGAATTGTAATACTTGTACTACATGTTATGATTTATGTTTCAGAATTGTTGATTACGACCTCGCCATTAAAATGCGCTCGGCGTTCGCTTATAATTTCTCGAAGATGAGGGTAAAGCTGATCAATAGACCATGTCCCGTCAATTCCAAGCGATAAACCGCACCGTATCATTGCCTTCTGAGCGTAAGACATTCCGTTCTTGTCTTTTTGAAGGTTTACGGCTTTGGTAGCATCAGCAGCAAGTTGCAGAAAGAACCTTTTACCTGGGTTTTGAAGCTTGCCGGACCACGAATCATCCTTTCGGATCTTGTTTTGCCAGCGGTTATCCCTGATAAACTCCAACTTTTTCTCGTTCCATT